AAATCCAGCTCATAACTTCAGTGATAGCATGACGAGAAGGAATTTTGTCCATTTGGAGCTGTAGAGATAACAGACTTAAAATACGTGTTGTGAAGAAAATGGATAAGAATCCCTTACTTTGCATTACCGTAGTACATTTCCTTTACCTGCTCTTATTTCATATTGTTCTACATCCCCAAGATACCACTGGTGTTTATAAAAAGAAAAGTGGAAATAAAAAAGGTTTTAATGGGACATATATTGTATAACTGCAAGCATCTTAATAAGAAATTGTTATATTAAAGGCTTTTTATTTCTATTTTTCATTGTACAAAGAAACTGGAAAAACTCAAAGATTCCATTTCTGAATTCCTAAAGGTTCTGCATTCTTATTGCATAATTCTGTATTGGGCTTATGTAAAAGATAAAGTTTAAGCTACACTTTTCCAGTCCAAGTAAATAGCTAATGGATAGGTCCACGGAAAGTAATTTTATACTACTATTCTTGTGTGGTGATTTCCAAATAGGCTGATATTAAATGGTACCTGCTTTTTCTTAAAAGACTCACTTTCAACATTTGATACAGTAGTGCTGGCTAACAGTTGCTCAGAAATGACATTTTTAGACAGACATATATTTCGCATTACAAGATAGTTCAGAGAACTACTGAATGACATTATTTTCTTTAATATAATAGACTCAGTTAACATTTGTTACCCTTTCTCTCTCCTCCTGAATCACAATTCAATTACTAACTCTGAGACCATTCCAAATTATAAACTGAAGCAATGGCTTACACTGATATCCTCCTAGCAACTAAAGAGTAAACCAACTTTTAGACCAGTGCAATTCTTTAACTTCAGTATTACAGCATTAAAAAAACCCAAAACTACACATCGAAAACCCTCCTGTTCCTACATACACTAAAGAAACCTTACACAATGTTTTTGTCTTGCACTTTCTTGAACAGTCCAAACCTGACAGGGTACAGGGATGACCTTTTTCCAAAAAAACATACCAACATGTTGAAAAAACCCTCATCTGTTCTTTGGTTAAATTCAACAAATGTAACTGTGAAAGTCTGAAATTAACACCAATTGATGTTAGACTGCATGGGTAGGCAGGATTTGGACGTAAGTGTAAGCTTTCCCGTATTAAAACAGGAATAACGTTGTTCCTATCTTGCCTTACATGGACAAACTGAGGAAGGGAGCAATCATCTCTCAAAGGCAGTTCCAATTGTACAGTCTGAATTTTCTGGAATATCAAAGGCTATCACGAGCATTCCTTACCTGGTGCAATTTTTCTTGTACTGCTGGTATTTGTGTGAGCAGCTCTGTCCACTGACTGTCGATGTGGGACAATCCTGCACGCAATCCTGCTGTATCCACCTTCTTCAGCCTGAGGAGCTGGTTTCCAGTACTCAGGACAGAAGATTTCTGTGACGATTTAGCCTCCACTTCTTTTGAAAACTCCTATAAGCAGAATAATTTTTGTGGAAATACTCAACTTCTTGTTGTACTTAAAGCTTTACCTCAGAAAGGATATTCTTATCCTCCCTTCCCTTAAAAAAAAAGTACTTTCTATTAGTGTTACTCACTACTTCATTGATGAGAAGTATAACCATATGACTGCTCAACTGTTTATTTGTAATTGGAGAGAAAAAAAGTATCCTAGGTCCATGAATGAATTACCAAAAAGGAGTTCAGGTGATCTCGGACTGTTTCCAGTTCCTGAGGAACTGTCAAAGACTGCTGGCTCCAAAACTCAAGTCGTTCCTTTGCAGACTGTAACCAACGTGTCAATTCATTTGATTCACTCTGATATCTGTGAAGATGTTTAAAGAAAACTGTAACAGTCAACACCTCTTTTGCCTCCAAATAAACAGAATATAGTATATCCCAGAATTGATGTCAAAATAAAAATATTTAATTTCCTTTATCAAAATTCAGAAAAACATGATTTAATTTTAAAGACAGGCGTAGTATCAGGAAGCTCGTATTTCAGCCATTATACCCACAATTCCTAACACTGCTTGTGTACTGGCTCTTAGGAAAGCCTAAGTTTAATGAAAGTCTAGTAACTAGGTTACGAATATGTTTGGGCAAGCTGTAACAGCACCCTACGTAAATAAACAGAGTTTGCTTTCCAGTGGCAATGCCCCTACCCGAACATGCTGAGGCTACTCATGCTACCTAGCTAAGCACACACCCTTTCTCATCAAATTGTATGCATGTGGGGGGCTTCTAAATCAGTCATCTAAACACGAAATCTTCTGACTTCCTCCCACCAGCTGTTCTCTCATATGTGTTCTATAGCAAATGAGAGAGTGTGATAGCAATTCTATAGAACAAAAGTAGGATATTGTAGAGAAGTCAAACTATCACATACATCTCAAAGTACTTTTAAATTTGAATCTAACAGTTCTGGGTTCAAGATTACTCAGACCTGAACAGCAAAGGTGGAGAAGTTTATACTCTCCATTACATCAGCATTACCTTGTCCAGTGCTTCAGTATTGTCTCCAGCCTCTGAAGCTCCTTGCTAACCTTACTGGTGTTACTTAACCAGTGTTCTCCTAGTTGGTTCAGTTGGCTTTCGAGATCTGAGCAGCTCACAGAAAAAAGGAGCCTTTTTCCATCATCTAGCACTTGGTATAATTTAGGTTGGTATTCAGTCAGGTTAGATCTCAGATGCTGTAATGACAGAGGAGATGGTTAGATAGCTCTGCAGGTCTCTGTTACCGCACTTTCTCAACATTACTTGTCTTTCACTGCTTTTTGTAGTATATCTAATGTGACCAGGGCACATCACATTTTTTTTCAATCTTCTCCAGTTCTAGAACACCCTGAGAACCAACAGGCATGTAACCTGCTCAAAATGTGAACGTGTTGTCACACTCCCCTCCACTTCAATGCGTCTAGTGATACCTCCTTCTGATAAACTCCTCCTTGGTGTAGATAATTTACACCTGAAAATAACAATGTCAAAAGAATCTTTGTGAGGCAATACCATTTCTGAGAGAAATTGATTACAATGTCAGAACTTAGTCTACCATCTGCTGAAAACTACTGCAATGAAAGTTAAAAGTGTTCTGTATCAAGTTATAGACAGTGGCTATTCTTCAGCCCTTCCAATGCCTATATTCAGCTCTCTGGTCATCTAACTCTTCTTTCACTGATCTATCATCCTGCTGTCCATGGCTACAAAAGAGAAGGTCACCCATCCTTCTAAATCACTGAACACAGAAGCCAATTGTTATGGCACAAGAAAGCAAAAAAGGTACTGAAAAAGGAAAGCCTGTTAATAGTCTTAGCCTGAATCCAACCTGGAGCAGAGACAGATCTCATGTAAATGGTGACTTGTAGGTGGGCAAATATATACCTGACAAATTCCACTATCACTACACAAACAGTATGGATTTTAAAAACATCTGTATATTTCACTAAAAGGTACATGCATTCCCATTTTTAAGTTCTGACAAAAATCTGAAGATATAGTGTACAAAATTAGTGGTTTCATGGTGGAGTCATAAGCTTTCTATCACTCTTCTTATTTCGACTTTCATGTAAATAGAGCTCTAATAACTGAACAGAATGTTACATATGTGTGTGCCTGTGTGTGTACTTCCATATAACATACATACACACAAATAAATGTATAACTCCTAAAAAGCAGCATAAAAAAATCAAAGACAGTAACGAATTTATTATGATGGATTTTCAACCTGAATGTGGCCACAGAGAGAGATAAAAAAACCCTAACAAACAAACAAAAAAGCCCAAAGTATTAAAACTCATGCCATAGCAGAGTCCAAGAATCTGGATTTGAATAACCTAATTTATGTTACTGGCAAGAGAGGAAAACTAATTTAAGATCAGGAAACACAGAAAATGCTTAGCATTAAAGAAAACCAAAATAACCCCCCCACACAATAGATTTCTTAAGTTCTCTTCTCATACCACTGCAAAAGCAGAAAGCCATCTGGTAAAAGAACAATATATGTAAATTCAGAGTAGATAAGAAGTCAATTTGCAAGAAAAATTGGCAGACATTTTTCTGTAAAACAAAACAAGGAGAAAAAAAAAAGAAACCAACCCAACAACCAAAGTGTCTGGTGGAGAACAAGACAAAGACAAAACACTAGACCAAAATTCTCATTTTGACAACAGACTGAAAAAACAGGATGTGGTAGAAACCCTATGTTTAAACTACTAGTTTTTGTTTCATTGGAGGAGGAAGGCAACTCAGGGAACCACACATTGTTCAGCCTCACCTTGATCTCTGGAAAGATCACGGAGCTTATGCTCTTGGAATCCATTTTCAAGAACAAAAAGGACCAAAAGATGATCAGAAATATTCAACTTGGATTCACTAACTTGACAGCCTTTTATGACAAAATTACTGTCTTTGTGGATGAGACTGAGTTCACTATGCCCTTTCACACTGTCTCCCACAGGACCCTCCTCTAGAATTGGAGAGGATGTGGGCTGGATAAATGTACTGTTACATGGTTTGAAAACTAGCTGTGTTATCAGTATCAAACACTAGAGAGCCAAAGCTTGATGTCTGGCTGGCAGACTGTAATGGGTAGAGTACCCCAGAGATTATTGATATTTGAGTTCAAGCATCTTCAGAATCTTCCTTAATGGCATGGATGGTGACAGAGAGTGGTCCTTTAGTAAATTTGTTGGGGACAGTACATAGGAGAGTGAGACAAAAAACAGCACACTTAAGTCCAGAGACACTTTGATAAATTTGAGGCTGGAGGCAGCAGAAACCTTAGAAGGCTCAACCAGAAATGCAAACTCTCTGCTTTGGGCAGACTAACCCTGTTTCTCACTAAAAGTTAGGAAGGAAATGGCTAGTATATTTAACCTGGCATTTTCCATTACCAAAACACGAATAAGGCCAGCCACAGCACTGGCCTACATTAGGACTATAACCACCTATATAAGTCATTTTATTATCTTCATGGTGCTGATGAGGCCACATCTAGTGCATCTGATTCTGCTCTGCCTCCACCTCCCACCAGTTCAAGAATAAGGAAGTAGTCGGAGTCTCATGCAGAGTTATTAAGATGTTTAGAGACCTAGGCACATGTCCTTTAAAAAGAGGCTAAGGGAGGTGTGCTTATTTTAGACTGACAAAGAGGAGCTAAGGGCCAGTCTCGCAAAGGCCTACAACTATTTGGAGTACAATTAAAAAGATGCTAGAAGTAAATGCTCCTCCATAGTGCCACACAATATAAAAAGGACAATGATGACAAGCTGAAAGTTGAAGGTTTACATTGGGCATTAAAGAAAACCTTTTCAGTAGAAGTGGTGCAGCACTGCAGTCGGTCCCAAGCTCAGCTTTGGGATCTCCATATTTTGAAGTTTCCAAAACCATTGCCAATCCAGGACATGGCAACTGTCCTTCAAGTTTGAGGCTTGACTAGATGACCTTCAAAGGTCCCTTTCATCCAATTTTTCCGTAAAGAATGCCTAAAATGTACCAACCTGAAAAAGTGTAATCCGCTCTCTAAGCCTGTCCTCCGTCTCTTCCACCAAACCAACAGTGGGGATGCTACCTTCCACAGACTCCAATTGCCTGGTGAGTTCCTGGTAATCTTCATCCAGATGCGTCCAAGTCTGCAAGCACAAATTATCCATGTATATAGTGAATACAGAATCTAGATATCTAGAATTTTCATTACTTGCTTTATCGATCTGAAATCCTATAGCTGCATGGTTATGAACGTACAGAAATAACAGTAAAAATTTCCAGTGAATCTATAAAAAGACACCACCTCTGTGCCAAGTTCAACTTTTGGTTAGAACACATGGACAAAGTTTTCATGTTTTCCTTGTCAGCTAAAGCTAAGCAGCTGTTTTAAATGTAGAGGAACATAACTTGTGTCACCTGAATGTCACAGGAGTTAAATAGCAAATATTACATGTAGTCTATCATTGCCCTGTGTGTATCACAAAAGGGATTGATGTCCACCAATTCTGTCCAAGCACAGGAAATCAGTGTTACAGATTATATCCTGGTGGTTGATCATAATGGCAGTACAGAAATGATCAAAGAAATTCTCACCTCTAGAATGTATTCCAGCTCCACACCTCGTTTATGAGACATCTTTAATATAGCTGAAGCTTGTGTCATTAGCTCTGAATGTGACTGAGTTTCTTTCAAGAGGGCAAAGCTACACATCTTTCTAAAGAGTGTTTCCATCAGGATCATGTGAGACTCCAACCCCTGAAAATATTCCTGAGAAATTTGGGTGTGAGGGAGTGGGTAAAGGGAAAAAAGAGAAAGTGCAATTATTATTCAAGTAATTACCAGAAACCCAGCATTATGAGAAAATAGTTGTACAATTAAGAATTTGTAGACATAGATTTAGATCAACTTATCACTCCACCAACATCTCACAAAATCCAACACACAATTTAAAAAGGACAATGGCCTTTTTAAAGAAAGAGACAGGTCAGTCATCCTTTCCATGCAAATGCCATCCTAACTCTCATTCCCTAAACAGAAATAGCTCAAATGAGATATGTAGCAGCAACAAGATCTGCTTAACAGAAAAAAAAAAAAAAACCATGGAAAAGACTTGTTATATTTTGTTGGTGCTATTAGAAAACGTAAATTTTTGTTGGAAAAAAATGAGTGGTGGATGAAATAGCTGTGTAGCATTACAGGACAAGAATAGGAACTTCTTATTAGAATAAGGAAGAATATGCAGCCTACCTGGGTTCACCTTCAACAGATCATTTGAAAGTCATTCAGTCAGAACAGCTCATTGATTCCAATTTAAAATACAGAAAGTTTAACATATTCTGATTTAATACTGGCTCACCATTCTGAAAGACTCCTGAATCTTTAGGAACAGAAGGTTAGCAGTTTGCTTTGTACAAACTTACAGTAGTGATTAATCTTGAAATATGTCACTGTTTCTTACCTTATGTTTGTCAAGTAGCGATCGAACCTCTTCCTTAGAAGCAACAATCATTTTCTGGTCACCAGCCATCTTTTCTTGGCCTGTTTCTACCAGGTCAGCGAGGTCCTGCAAAGCCCGTTCATACTGCCTCTTAAGAGCAAGATTCTGATTCAGATCACTCCGTCTGGATCCAATGATCATCATCAGCTCATCATACTTATCCTTGGGGGTAAAAAGCAGCAATGATGATTCTTATTTCACACCTTACGTGTCTTCCTACTACTTAAGTGTACTCAAAACCAAGTCTGACTGAAAGTAGGCAAAAATATGACAGGTTCTAATAAAAGCAGAACATTTCCAGCTTCAGGTCACACTTAGCTATATATCCCCTTTCATCCTCCCTCTTTTTTTTTTTCAGTGACGGATCTGAGAGACAACTAAAACCCAGGTCATGAGACACTGTTGAGAACAAGAGTCAACCTTTAGCAGACATTTATGTTAACATGCTAATCTACCTATCTGAACAACGAGTCAACAAGAGCTGAAAGAAAACATGTTTTTGTGCTTTTATGTGATTAATATCGCTAATAATAGAGATGTTTGAAAATATGAAAAAGTAAAAGTAGAAAAACTAGGTGAATCTTTTATACATACTGAAACGATTTTAAATACACTTTCCTAAAATGCCTTACGAACAATAAAAAGGAGCATACTAATACCGCTAGACAGGTCTAGAATGGAAGTTATGAACCATACCTGAATCTTAGACAGCTCTTGCACAGAAGGTTGGTCAATTTGTAGCTTGTCTACACGCTTCTTTAATTCATTGATTCCAGCATCTAGTTCCTTCAAACCTTCTTCTGCCTGCAGTATGACCTGTATTTGAAAATTACATCATTTAGTTTGAAGGTTTAATGACAGTACTGTAGCTGCCATACAGTAATGTTCTTTTCTGTTTTCTGCCCAAAGTATTAATCATTCCTTTAATCTGCCAAAATGCTGAAGGATACTATAAAAAAAAGTATTAATTCAAAGCTGGGAGAATCCAGCTTGTTTCTTAAAGTTAAATACAATATGGCATTATTATTTTTTTAATAACAAGCTATTTAGTATCATGCACTATTTTACACCAAACCTTGCTGTGAAGCTCCATGCTTTTAATTATATAGCGCAGGCACAAAAGGAGGATTAGTTGTTCTAACACCTCCTTTTAAAGCATTCTTTCTATTAACAGTCATTCTTGTCACATCTGAACACCAAGAAAACAACCATCACAGCAGAAGACATGGAGGATAGTGAAGAACTGTGGATAGTTCCCTTTCAGGACTAAAATTACTGTCAATGAAAATTACTTGTATATCCCCTTTGCACTTGGAAAACTGCAGCTTAAGAACACAGACTGGTATTTGCAAACATAAGTAGGTGATAACTTTTTTCAATTGAAGCTATAAACTTTCCTGAGTCTTTCAGCCTAGGAGTCTGCTGACATAATGCATGCAGCTTTAACAAAGACAAAAGCACTGTAGATTCCTGTAGTTAAAGTCCTTTGTAAAAGCCCTTCTCTTGGATACTGCCTACCTAAACATGCTTAAACTATATATGCAAGTAGAAGTCCTGACTCATAGTAACGCGGAGTATGCACAATAGAGTCAGTAAACTTACACTTCATGCAGCTAAGTTACATGGCTGATTAATGGCCTTATTTCTACTTCCCCAATCACATCTTAAACAAAAAGTAATGCTTTTGAATTTTAATGTTTTATCAGCGAAGGTAGATGTTCAGAAACAAATCAATGCAGTTGCTTCTGTTACCACACTGTTTTCCTATTTGGTAGTTAAATTAACCACACAGGAGATAATCTTTTGAATCAAGGAAGATAGAGAAAAAAAACACAGAGTAACAGCTTTCTTATTCATACAGAAGACTTAAAATGCCTTCAAAATTTTATAATCATGTATATAAAGCCCAGTATTTCAGTTTAGCTGAAGAATAAACCCCTTCCTCTTAGTCACCTGCTGGCACCAGACATCAGCAGGTCTTGCATAATGAATAACATCTATAGAAAATAGCTGTAAGCATGCTTCTTAACTTCTTTCATTGGCAAAACAGAAACAAAGAATCAGGATATATTTTGTCATATTAGTAACTAATTATTCATCAGGCAATTCCTGATAAAGAAAAAGAAATTGCTTTAAATTAAAATGAATAATGATCAAGATATTACTATAAACCAGTGCAGAAAAAAGTGCCTTTGTTTTTTAATAAAGTATAACAGCCAAACAATTTAGTCAAACTAGACTTTTTTTGGTTCACTGTACTGCCCAGTGTATGCATAACTAAGTCAGGTAGGGAGATAAGAAAGACACTGTGTTAGTTTTTGTTCATTTATGGTTTTTTTGAATTTATAAATGTATAGTACACTCTTGGAAGTACTCACTTTCATATATTTTATGTGAACATATACATTCTCCCTCAAAGAAGCAACTGTTCTGTAGAACCCATTTAGACTTTGAACAGAAATTTTCCCTCTTCCCCTCTCCTGAAGTAACAGACATTTGGTAATACCTGCATTTGTTCTGTTTCTGGTCTCTCAGCTGCCTCTGCTAGTTTCTGTAAAACTAAATATTTGTTTTCAGCCACCGAGGTAAACAGGAGCTTCAGATCATTCTGCAGGAGATGACAACAACAAATTACAGCCAATCACAGCACAATGAAACTGAAAAATATTTTATGTTCAAAAAAGTTTAAAGTGTTACAATTTTACAGCAGCACTAATTCAAAATTGGAAGCATCAGAATCAGCCAGTGAAAAATATTTAATGTTGTTGAAAAGCCATAGCTAGATACATATGAGTTAAAAGCCAGAGAGACTCCTATTCAAAACAGAACACACTTCTGCTTTTGCCTTCCAATTAAATAATTAATCAGCAAAGATCATCAGCTTCATTTAACAAAGAATCTATATTTCTTGTGTAGTTTATTCGACCACATCCATTTGTAAACAAGTTAGGTTTTACTTTTTAAAGCAAGTTTTTTTCATTACAAACTTGAGCAAATATAAAAAAGAAATAAATGAGGCCTCAACACATTGCAAGGCTAACTACACATTATAACGTTTAAAGTACCTTATCAGACTAGACACACAAATATTATTTAACAATTTTGTCAAGTTATAATCTATTAATCTTTTCTTCATGCATTCCTCCCAACAGAAAACTATCAGCAACATTATATAAGGGGTGAATTAATGATACTTTTTTTTCCATGCAGTAATTTTTTTAAATACTAAATATCTCCGATACAACAATAATGCATGGGATTCTAATCAACTTGTCTTTCTTCAATAAAGTAAGGCCTTTCATTGAAAAATATGTTTATTTTCATTCAAACTAAGCCATAGTGGAGGCTGTATATGATAATAATAGGGAAGAAGGTAGAGATCAAGTAAGATCTGAAAGCATTTCTAAATGCTGTTTTATAAGATTCCTAAAAGTGCATATTTTTCCACTTCATTTTTTTTTCTGCTGCGCTCAGTACAGATGGCCTGAGATAAAAGCTCTTATAGAGTAACAGGATGGCTTAAAGATGGTCAGAAAGGTGGAAATCAGTATTACATTTTCTACTTTATCTCAGTTAATAAAACCAGTGTACTCTATCATTTATGAAATTATAAAATGTATAGAGTGGAACAGTCAAGTTGCTACTTTTCTCTCCTTTGAGAACAGTAGTCAAATACCTCCTTTTATGTAATGCCAGCAGAGTGAGAAAGCATGGGATGAATGATCACTTTACAATAACGGCACGACTTGCAGAAGGTTTTCAGCAGACAGTTTAAATTCTGGGTCATGATTTGGGTACCAAATTTTGCGGAGTTTAAGTAGTTTGACTTTTCAGTAGAAACCTGTGCCAAGCTTGTTCTTTTGATCTGGTACCAAAACTTCTTGCTTTGAGAATCACATTCTTTATATTCCCATTGACGTGTACCCCCTCTTAATTCCTTCAAATAGGCATCATACCTTGAAAGTCACTATCTGCTGCAGCCGTTCTTTCATCTGATGGCATCTCTGGTTTACTACTGACTCCAGTAATGTCAGTCTTCCCAGGAGACAATCCAAAGTATCTTGTATAACATCCCTATTATCACCATTCTCAGGAAATATCTGAGCAAATAAATTCTTGTTCTTATCTGTTTCTTCTGTAATGTCTTTGATTTCTTTGGCAAGAGACTGATTTTGTAGAAAACAAAGAAAGCAAAGAAAGTGACAATCAGACATTCCGGAAAGCAGGCAAACGTACTGCCATAACTGTTGTCAATTTTGCACTGACACAGTAACTTTTTTCTTATTACATTTTAAGATACACACACTAAGCAAAGTCATGCAGCTACAAGATCTCTGATAGTAGAAAGCCCCCAGACTGCTCTGAGGAAAAGAAGTATTGAAACAAAATGATGTAGAATCATAGAATTGTTTGGGTTGGAAGGGACCTTTAAAGTCCACCCCCTCCGTGATAAGCAGGGACATCTTCAACATGATAAATTTGCCCAGAGCCTGGTCCAGCCTGACCTTGAAAGTTTCCAGGGAGGGAACATTTACAGCCTCTTTGGACCATGTTTCCAGATTTCACCACTCTCATCCTAAACAGTTTCTTCCTTGTATCTTATCTGAGTGTATCCTTTTTCACTTTAAAAGCACCACGCTTTGTCCTATCACCTCTCCCCACTCTGCTTCCTTCTCCTCTCCTCCTATTTCATGTTGATGTATTTGTAACTATTTCTGTATCTCAGAACATTCTTCCCTCTTTTTCACTTCATTTCAATTCCAACAGTATGGTGTTTGTTAACAGTTAGCAAAGAAGTTAAACATCAGAAAGACTCCATGTTTAATTCTCTTCCAACCAGGCAAAGTTGGGGTGAGGTGCTGCTTTCTGCAACATTCTCTACACAGGCAATAAAGTTCTACCACTAGCAGAATACTGCAGTTACATAGAGATTATGACAGCAACAGTCACTTATCCAGGATTCTGATATTTTCTTTCTAAACACTATATAAAATGCACCCTTACTGACAATTTAAAGAAAGTCCTATTCCTGGATTCCTTACCTCTTGTTTGAAGAGGTATGCTTCTGTTTCTTCCTCTGGCAACAGAACTGTAGCAACAAAGACCTGTTCTTCCACACCATTTAGCCACAAGGATGTGGCTGTGACACCATCATACAGCTTCTGTTCAAGATGGAGGCTCTCTTCCGCCTGTCCGACCTGGGCAAAAGGAAACAGAGAAGTGCAGAGAAGTACAAAATACTTCTAATGTCTTGTATCTGGGAAAGGGATGGACTTCCAGGTGGGAGCTAGAGTAAATGTGGATTTGCTGGAGGATAAGTGTAAAGACAATTGAAAGATTACCTCAGATGACATATCTTCAAAGACTTGATTCAATTCAACCAATACTGGTGACACTGAGGATTTAGCTTCATCCTGTCCTTTCTTATACAAAGGCATTCCAGATAGCAGTCTGTTTGGTCTGTTATAAAACTGCTGAGAGAGATGTACTAATTAGGATGCTTCCACCATATATAGGGCATGAAATTCAGCAATACAGATTCTACTGCTAACTGAGGATATCATGAAATAATGCCCATGGTTCTCCCATGACTGTTCTGTGTCATGAATATCTTGAATAAAAGACTGATCAACAGGAGGTTCACTAGAAGTGTAGGATAAATACTTGTGGTTCGGATTAGTAATGACTTGGGTTTTGGTTTTAAGAATAATTATTTTTTTAATGAAGACAAGATATTTAGAACTTTGGAAGTGGGTTTCGATGTAGTTTGATATGAAGAATAGACCCTAAGTCTATTAACAATAAAATTGAGTATGTATGTTAATATAGATCTCGTATTGTCCCCAGTTTAGTTGATTAATCACTGTTTTTTTTCAATAAAAATCCTGTTGCTGAAATCACTTGTTTCTTTGTAACATACCCAGTAAGGTCAAGAATTGAATGTAACCAATACATTCAAACTGCATATACCAGTTCTTCCTCTAATTTGAGCCAGAGTACTGTCAATTCCAATTTGTTACATAATTATCCTGTGTTAGATAAGTTGGTGAAAATTTGTCTGAGCCCTTTCTTCCTTTCTAGTGTATTCACCTGAGTGGTTGTGCAAATCAAATCACTTTGTAAAAGAACAGTGCTAGTGCCAACATTTAATATTTTTTAAAGATGCCACTAAAATAACTTGTTCAATATTCTTTGCATTAACTACATCGCCTTAATGTATCTGCTATGGACATACTCTACCTTATGCTGTGACAACTGCCTTCATAGAGAAAATGCAAAGAGACATTAAAAATAGCTACCAGCTGTTCTTGTTCCAGAGCTTTCTGAAGCAGTCTCTGCTTTGTATGGAATTCCTGGTTCAGGCTTTCCCATTTCACTTTCATCTGTTCTTCAGGTGACGGCTTCTCACCTTCCAAGTCCAGTTCCTTGGAAAGTGTATCAGGCTTCTCACTGAATGGGAAGATGTATAGAGTCATAGAATAGATAGGGTTGGACCTTAAGATCATCTAGTTCCAACCCCTTGCCATGGGCAGGGACACCTCACACTAAACCATGTTGCCCAAGGCGCTGTTCAACCTGGCCTTGAACGCTGCCAGGGACGAAGCATTCGCAACTTCCTTGGGCACCCATTCCAGTGCCTCACCACCCTCACTATGAAGAACTTCTTCCTTAGATCTAATCTAAACTTCCCCTGTTTAAGTTTAAACCCATTACCCCTTCTCCTACCACTACAGTCCCTAATGAAGAGTCCCTCCCCAGCATCCTTGTAAGCCCCATTCAGATACTGGAAGGCTGCTATGAGGTCTCCACGCAGCCTTCTCTTTTCCAGGCTGAACAGCCCCAACTTTCTCAGCCTGTCTTCATCAGGGAGGTGCTCCAGCCCTCTTTATCATCCTTGCGGCCCTCCTCTGGACTTGGTCCAACAGCCCCATGTCCTTTTTATGTTGAGGTACAGAATACTGCAAGTGAGGTCTCACTTGCATAAACGTTTAACAAATACAAAAGCTATAACTATATAAGGTGCTTATTTCATCTTTCAGTTTTCAATTAGGAAATTCTATTTTTAAATTCTATGATACTTTTTAAAGCTTTAACTTTTTTTGACTCCTCCTCTCTCAAAATGCCAAAAATATGAGTTTAGCTGTGGTAAACAGTGAGTGAGTTCATCTTTATCTGCTTGATTTTTTTGTTTGTTTACATAGTATAAGATCATGTAATAGAAGGAAGTTGCAAAGAGAGGAGATAAGTACTTTCTGGTATTATAATAAACCACCACAATGAATTAACAGAAATGCTGAGGAAAACGTGCTGAGTATAGCTTAAATTCGCTATGCATAAGTCTTGGTTCTGCTGCCTCATGAACTACCTTCATGGTCTAGACTTTGTCAGACTACAATGTTTTAGACATGATTCACACACCAGTGCTGGACCGTAAAGCTATAGTAACTGATCCACTGCTTGTCTACTGAACCCCAGAAGTTTGTAATTTTAGAATGATGCTTGATAATAAGAATAAAAGGAATTTCTAAATGCTGAAAGTGATCTATCAGCAGTAAACAGCTTCTATAACTATATTATCAGAGCCCTGAATTGTAAACCAGGACTTTGGTATCCTAGGTGCTGTATAAAAATGAAAAAACAAAAATTAGAGGATTATATGCAGAAGAGGGACGTAAACATAGGAATGAGAAGCACAGTCATAAAAATTTACTTCACAGAACACATGAAAGCACACCTTATACATACGCCTTCTGGAGCACCTTGCTGTGTTAAGATTTCTCCTCCACGGCATGCTACTGACCGAAGAAGATTCTTCTGCTCTTCTAGTTCTTGCTCCAGCTCCTAGCATAGCAAGTTACAAAAACCAAAACAAACCTCAGACAGATTGTTTTTGCCTTGGTAGGATATGTCTGCATTTTATAACTGTCATGCAGGGATAGCTGAGATATTTCTGATATGGCTTGTTTAAGCACCAAAAGCAGTGAAAAATCTCCACTCAGGGACACAGAAAAGATCGGTACATAAACTGTATTGTTGAACTAATTGACTAATGCAGTGCAGTTGCTGGAACCTAACCTAGTGAGGATGTCTGTGTATCACAATATGCCTTGTAATGTATCTTCGCTTCTATAAAGACAGTGTTGATTACTATTTTAAGGAATTGCCATCATCTCTTTAGAGTAATTTTAAGGGTTGATTCACTTTAATTCTGCTGACGGACAATGGAAGCACAGAGTGATTAAGCAATTTGACCATAGTCACCTAGGAAGTCTTGTCTGCCTGGCTCTAACAGATATAAAATACTGAGCTCAGATGTACCATTACAAAAGCACTGAGTAAGAAACAGAAGATTTCAGTGGAAATATTAACAAGAATGGCTCAGCTATAGTCTTAAGCACATCTAAGATGGGAGTAAAAGAAACGCAAAACACCAACTTTCTGTTGCTGCAGGGTGCTCTGCTGTTGCTGTGAGCGAGTGGTTCTTGCTTGTGCCAGCCATTCTTGGACATTGGGGCTTTGTGAGGAAACAAAGTCTAGATCACTCTCCTCCTTGTCTTGTAATGATCCCTGCTTTAAAAGAAAAACAAAGATTTTTACAAAATCTCTTTTATATTGCTAGAGAGCTGGCAAGTCCAGCTATCAACCCAAACCCAAATGTAGTTTCACTCTCCACCTCTCAAGCTGCTGGCTCACACAAATTGTGAAGCGAGTAATGACTAGATTTCTCATTTCTACTGGTTATTGTAGCAAGAAAGCATCCCTAAAAATGTAAAAATAAACATATATCACTGCACTCAGATGAATCAGAGATCAGAGACCATGGACTGATGTGTTTCTGAAAACTTCCACTTCTACAAACCAGCACTGATCTGTAATAGAGGATGCAGATTTAACTGGTGATTCAGGGAATCAATAGGTTGTTTCTGTCAGGTTTTTAGTCTAATTAAAGCCATTTTCTTTTTGTCTAACTAAAAAGAAGAGAATGCTGGTTGTTAATCTGGACAAAATGTATTTATCAATACGTACATAACTCCATCAGTGGTTGGCAGAAACACAGCCATGTATCAGAAGATTATATGATATGAAAAGTAAAGACAGTAACAGGGATGAAACCACAGAATATTATAATAGAACAATAAAAGCAAGAGTTCCTTTACTTCATGCTTCTATCATTTTATTTTTCCAATATGAGTGATTAAACAGGCTTTCTGTGTAAGCAAAGCAAAAAAAGCACAAATGCCTTAATAGTTCCAAAGAATGCTTTAACAACTTCTTGACTTCTGAAATCCATGTTGGCTGTAAATTTAAATTATTTTAACAAACAGTGCACTCAAATGTAGAGATTTTAACATACTAGGCCTAATGTTAAAGTCAGACTTGTAGGTCTACACACCTCTCTGGATTTATTTAATATTACCTGCAGGCACACAATGACTGTAGAGTTTGTGTCTTTTTTATTAGTATTAAAAAAAAAAAAAAAAATAATTCAAGAGCTAAATCTGGGACTTTATTCCTCTCCCCTTTTTGTCTATGCAGGATTTATGTAGGATTCACTTTTTCCCTATTACTCAGCTCTTATTCTAAATAGAGTAAGAGCACAAATGGTTCAGACATTCCAGGAGGCTCTCCAAAACAGAAAACACATTCTGCCTCCTAGGTAGCCTTTGTCTCAAATCAGGCAAGGACTATCAGCGCCAGAAGTGGCTGAGGAAACCCATTTTGCCTCACCTGGTACTCCTTACAATAACAACTGGGATGGATCTCTTCCACCAGTGTCCCTGGCATCAAGCACTGAAACAGCAGAGTTTTGCTAAATAGTAGAAGTTATGTGTGAGATTTCAGTTTTGAGGTATAATGAGTATACTGGAAAGGACTGATTAGTGTTAGAGGATATAAACTGTAAGATAAGCAAAACAGGTAAGCAGGTATCTAGAGCTCGGAAGAACCATTAGCCCTTGCTCTATGAAATAGCTTTCTTCCACTAAGGATTCAGTTTTTGCAGGTAAACTGTGACACTTTGTTGGGAACAAGTTTCTAGAAAAGCTGATGTGGTTGGAATGTAACCAATGTGATTATAGGATATCAGATTAGGCACAGAAAACATTATGGGAGGGATAAAGAAGACGTGGATATTTCCCCCCCCCCCCCTATTAAAAATGAGGAAAAATCCCCCAATCTTCTTGTAAATTAAAAAAAAAAAAGGCAAAACAAAAATCTGCTTCTAGGGACAATACCTGTTCACCTTGTAAATTCCTTTAGAGACCAGTATCTAGTTCTTCATTGCATTTGGGCAGCTTGATTGATTTCAGTCATATTCTGAGTTTCCTCTTCTCTGGGAAGAGGGTTGAGAAGCTACGGTTTTATACTAAGGCAAAGAAAGAGTAGTCCCTCAGTTCCTGCAATAGCAGAGTGTAAAAGGGATTGTGGCATTATGGATGCAATGAGGTTTTGAAAATATGTTATTGTGCATGCTTTTCAGATCAAAATTATTTGAGAACCGGATTTTATCATTCTCAAGTCAGAGAACATAAATACGAAAGAAATTACAGTTGCATTTTCATTTGAATTCTGTCTGAAGAAACTATTACATGTCCTTTAAAAAGCCAGGGAAATAAATGATTGAAACTGTCATTCCTGGGGACTATACACTCCAGCACAGAAAATCACTGGAAAATCCCTGAAGAAAATGTGATAGAATTGATCTTTCAAAGGAGTTCAGAATTGTACAAACTTATCTCAAGCATATTTGTCTTGTTGAACTGAAATAATCCCTCCCACACACATACTTTGAAATCAAATTAAGAGAATCTATCTGTCCATTTTGGGGTTTGTTTTTGGTTTTTTTTCCTGCAGAATCCATTCTACTTCTTTAGGGTTTTTTTAAGGAGTGTATTTATTTTTATTGCCCTAAGTCACAGAATTTAGTTGATAACAGTAATAAGGCAATGTTTTGTATATCTTTCAAAGTACTTGAAAAATGCTACATTAAGAAAAAATAGGTCTGGAACTCTCCTGATCCAGCACGTTTCTGATTAGTTTCACTGCTTTATTTTATGAATAAACGACTTGGTCTCCAAGACAGTTTTTCCATGTCATTAGAGACATTCATTAATTAAAATTAGAAGGAAAACTGAAACTGCTCCAAGGAAGTCACAGCATCTCATAGTGGCTTCTAAAAAGCCTTGTGCCACAGGAGTAACAGATATGCTAAAATATCGCTTTAAGGAAAATATAGCTCAGACTTTACAATGTTCTTGGTCTTGCAGTGTAACCTGGGAAGATCCTTCCTTTTCTAGGTGCAGGCTGCTCTATGCCTCTGGACAATTACAAGGTTATCAGTAAATCTAGAGACATGTATAAGTCTGAGTTTCCTACATGCATGAGCAACAGCACTGTCAGCGCATAATGTTTCTCAGGATTAATAATGGCAGTGAACAGAGTTAATGCTTTTTGGGCATCTGATGCTCTGAGCCTCAGTCCGTAAGAAATATTTTATGCCTTATTGTTGTAAAAAAGACATTATAGAATTTCTCGTTTGAAGAAAAATTGATTAATGAGAATTTGAAAATGTTATACTGCCCATATCTATGTTCTTCCAAGATCTGTAGGTGAAGTGGAAAAAAAAAAAAAAAGGCTTGCAATTCATAAGGAAACTTAAATCTTGCATCATGCATGTAGCACTTTAATTCATATTCTACATCTGGAAATTATTTTGTTATTTTCAATGTTAGAAAAGCGTTCAAGAATCTTAAAAGTTTAAGTAAACCAAACCACACCAATGTATTCTAAAATGCAGCACGTTTTAAAATGCATGTTTTAAAATGAATCAAAAAAGGTTGTGATGCCTTTTCATTTCACAAGTAAGGCATTAGAATATACTATAATAAGCCTACATGCTGTTGATAACACTTTTCATTTGCCTAATTATGAGGTTTAATATGCAAGAAGAACATTAAAGTTACTTCATCCTAGAGGCAATAGGAATAAATACCTGTTTTTTTCTTTTCCCTTTTTTTTTGGTGTGTGTTTGTGGGGTTTTTTTTGGTGAAGCTATGTTAAGTTTTATAGTTATCCAGTTGCTTTGGACTAAAAATAGTTCTTAGCATGTCAAGTGACTTTTCAAGCTAGCCTTTCAGTAGACTTTAATCTGCATTACAAGCTAGAATCTTTGAAGCTTATCATGTTTAATTTGCACAGCAAAGCCCAGAAAAGAAATAAAAGAAAAGGGGGGAAGGGAGTCACACCAGGGCAAGCAAATTCAAAACCACTCAGTCACATTACATGGTAGGGTTTCTTGTATGTATCCAGTTCTCCACATGCTAGTTTAACCTAAAGAATGACCAAAAACAACGGTTAAATAAAGCAGACCAATGCTGCTAGGAATAGAAACCTAGGACAAGGCTGAGGTTAAATGCATCTTCCTTTTTGTAATATTTTGTTTGGTATAATGATGGCAAACCATATACATTCCAAATGTTTCATTATCTTGATGTTGTCTGTTCTTCGTGTTGCACATGAATGTTGGAAAGCATGTATTTAGGATTGTTCTTTTGTTGGGGAAGAGATCCTGCCCGAGAGCACATGCAATCTAAAGGGACTGGGAACAGGAGTATATTCAGACCAAGCTAATAATTTAGCTTCTTCACTTCTGTCCTTTCAGTGAAGACAATAAGGTAAGGATCGTTTCACTATGAAGCAGTGCTGTTAACTTGGAAATGATAAATTAAAGCTTGCTAGGCAGTTATTTATTTTGGAGTGTAACTCCATTTACTAACTAAAGATGAATAGCTCAACCTAAATCAGTAAAATATTTCCACTCCTTTGCTCAGTTACATAAAACTACTATGAAATCCCCCAACCTCCTGCCCACCATGAAACCAGTTGAAAAAAGCCACTTACCCGAATGTTGATCTGTTTATCGTGGAGCACTCTCTGCAGCTCCAGAAGGCTGCCCTTCAGCGTCCTGAGTTTCACAGCCAGCTGCTCTGCCTCATCCTTGGTATGAGCCTTCCCCTCCATAAGCAAGTTCTCGTTGTGCACAGACAACTCTGACAAGGCTACCACCTTCTGCTCTATCTCAACCAGCATGTTCTGCAGCAGCAAAAACAAAGAACGAAAATCATACATTTCCCAGCACCTGCCACACTTTCCAGCAAGACGACCTGTGGCCTACCTCACCCCCCGCCAAGCTAGGGGCAAGTCAGATTATCATTGCTTTGCCTTCCAGTCCCTTTCAGAAGAATCCTTAGGAATATGTTTGCAAATGTTTGCCTTTGCTATTTCTTTTTGCAAACTTTTTCAAAATAGGAAATTAAAAAGTTATTTGAAACAAAGGATTTGCTGTACAGGAGATGCTCTTTATTTGCACATTAAAGGTAAGAGTGGCTAAGATGCTAGATTGACATCCATAATAAGGAACAGAGCATGCAGTTAGAGTTACTTTCCTGTTCTTTCATGTACATTTAGCGCAATGCTTCCTACCTCCTCCTATGCACTGCTCTGGCTAGGTTGATAAGCTTCTCTTCTCACTATTTGCTCTTTCTGATTGGTGCATGATGGACTTAAGGATTTCTGTATAATCCTCTTTAGTCTAAAGAGAGACTTAAAGTGACAAAGCTCTGGCATGTTTATGCTCAAAAGCTACTTCCTTGACATTCCATTAACTATTCATGAATTACAGACATAGTGCATATTTTGATCTTGCAAACTCAAAACTCACACAATTCTTGCTTAAAATCCTAGCCTGACATCAAATGCTTTTACTTCCATAGCAACCACCTAGCATAAACTTACAAATATTTCTCCTGAAGGAATGCATACAGGATAAGATGGGCAAAGTCTCTAAGAAGTGGAAAAAATATAGGACTTTATATAAAGCTTACTTTATTAAGATGTTAAGAACAAGCAAAAGAACAGCAGTATTAATTCTTCAACAAAGTTAACTGTCCTTTTTGAGTTTGCTATAAATTATATTAAAAAAAATACTGCTTTAAGTCCACAGAGTTTATTTATATACAACAAACATCTCCTAAGGATGGGTGATGAAAGAACACATGCGACTGAGCTGACCGAAAATTCCAATAGTGAAGCTGTGTCAGTGGAAATTTAACTTGATGTTGAATTCATCATATTTACAGAAACTTAACTCACATTTACGCTAAAACAGTTGAGATCCTTAGTCTTTTATATGAAAGGGGATCTTTTGTTCATCTGTTTTTTGTGTATCTTCTAATTTTAATTAGAATGATTATTTAGTTCTAAACTCTCATTTCAAAATGGAAAATTCCCACTAATTTGAGAAACCACATGTTACAAACAATACAAGTCTTGTTAGTTAAAGTATATGCAATAACTAATACAGCAAAATGTTTTTCCTCCTTTGTTTTGTATTCTGGTTTGATTGATATTAAATTATAAAAATTGTAACTACTGATGATTATAGTTTACTTTTGACAGTGGCTAGGGATTACTCGTGAAGAAAACACAACACTGTCCCAGCTACCACTGCTGGTATGAGTGTATACTTCAGCTGGAAAATGAGGAGAAGGAAAGTACACTGCAGGTGTATCAAATATCCATATCAAATAAGCTATTTAACAGATCTACCTGTAGTGAAGCAAAACCCATAACTGAAGCAAATACAAGGCCTTTAAAGCAAAACAAAATTCCTTCCAAAAGTTGTAGAGCTTCAAATGTTTTTGCAGTCTGGATATCTTGTTTTTCAACTGCTATTTTAACATGCACTTTCTAAAGCACTATGCAATCTTGAATAAGAAATTAAGAACAGGCTATATCTTATTTCACAAATCATTGATGAAGCTAACTGAGCATATATGAGGTGCTAAGGAGCTCAGAAAATTCTTCCCATTAACATGCTGGCTCATCCCACTCAATAATTAATTGTCTTAACATTAATGCTCCATATTCGACTTTTCACTCAGATAAAGCTATGTCAGTCCTGTTGATCTAAACATTCCAGGACTGATAATTTTACCTGACAGTCTACCAGCTGTGCTTCCATGTCCATAGGTTCCTCAGGAGTAATCAGAGTAGTGTCAAGTGTTGCTCGGGTATTTAGTAGCCAGTGGTCAAGCTCATCAGCTTCACAACGGTACCTTTGAAGAGCCTGCTCTTGCCGCTGTTCTTCCAGCTGCTCGTTCAGTTTTTCCTAGAGGTACAAATTACATTAATTACATTTTGCTTTTTAAAAGAAATACACTATAACAGTCACTTTAAATAAATAAATAAGTAAAATCTCCCGGTCTTTTGCAACTTCTATATATTATTTTTAAGCTATAGTAAGACATTTCTTTGATAAGTTGGAAACCTTGACAAAATATTATCACTTTCAATTGATGACCATGAGTTTCTGGTGACTGAAATTCTGTTTCATTACAGCCACTGTATTTCTACTTCTTTCAGTAGATCTCTGCTATTATAGCCTTCTAAAGGTAAAGTCTTTTCTGCCTCCTCTTGCTGCTCTCCTTTGGATTTCCCCCTACATTGATTCAGTTTGCTCAACTAGGATAGCACTGTTTGCTTAGGGAGAAAGACACATGGGAACATAGCACTGGGAATAGGCTTCAGGGAAAGAAGAGCAGCTTTGCCTTTTCTGGCAGCTGCAGGCTGCCTTATTGTCTTGAGAGAGGCACAAGATGGGTGCTTCAAGGACCAACAGAGTACTGGTGTGTCTCTGGTGTAGCTACTGAGTGTAAAAATAAGTCTGAAGAGCTGTCTGCCTTGTCTGGCCTCTTGAAGGATCCCTGTGCCATGGGGCGTGGAAGGACATTAAGGTCCAGTGGCTGCTGCAACAGCAATACAGAGGCCCTGGCTCCGTGCATCAGCTGGTCCATCCACCGGACAGACAGGGAGTGATCAGCGAGATTTGCTCACCCTTTAATAGTTCCATATGAATTTGAGAACTGGCTGAACAGGTGGGCCCAGAGAGTGGAGATCAGGGGCGCAAAGTCTAGTGAGAGGCCACTAACAAACCTCAGCAAGTTTACTGATGACAGAAAAGTGGGAGAAGTGGCTGATACACCAGATGGATCCCAACAGGCTGAAGAAATGAGCCGACAGGAACCTCATGAAGTTGAACAAAAGGAAGTGCAAAGTCTTGCACCTGGGAAGAAACAACCCCAGGCAGCAGTATATTCTGGAGGCCAAGTAGATGGAAAGCAGCTTGGCAGAAAAGGATCCTGGAGTCCTGGGTGGGCACCAACTTGAACATGAACCAGCAATGGACCCTTATGGTAAAGAAGGCTAATGGTATCCTGGGCTGCATTAGGAGTATTGTGCTGTATCCAGTTCTGGGCTCCCAAGTACAAATGAAATATGAAGCTCTAGATTGAGTAGAGAGGATTTCGGGAATAAGAAACAGATAGAATGCGATGGTCAGAGGATACCTAGATGTATCAGATAATGTGGAACCTAAGCATGCTGCAAATAATATGGAACAAGAAGAGAAGCTTGAACTAGATCTGGCTAGAATGGAGTTAAATTCATTGCATCCTGCACAGTGCTGAGCTTTTTGCAACTGTGGCAAAAATGTCTGATAACTGCAATGTTTTGACTATTGTTGAACAGTAATTGCACAGAACTAAGGATTTCTTTCCAACTGCCCCTCACAAAGGCCAGTAGGCTGGGGGTGGGCAAAAGGTTGAGAGAGCACATAGCCAGCACAGCTGAACTGAACCGACCAAAGGGATATTCCATATGAGTTCATGCTCAGCAATGACAGTCCAGGTAAAATGGATGAGGGAGAGAGACTGCATCTGTTATAGTATTTGTCTTTCCAACCAACAACATGGTGAGACCCTACCTTCCAGGAAAGTGGCTAAACATCTGCCTGCTGATGGGGAAGCAGTGAATAAGTTCTTCATTTTCCTTTGCTTACATGCACAGCTTTTCCTTACCCTATTAAGCTATCATTATCTCAATCCATGAGCCTTTTTGCCTGCCTTCTATTTTTTCCCCATTCCACAGAAGAGGGAAGTGAGAGTGAGTGTTTGGCTACTGGCCAGGGTCAACCTACCACACTTCTTTAAGGAAATTCAGACCTGTATGTGTAGGGCAAATCCCTCACACAGGGATGTGTTTGCGCAGCTTTTCTGAATGCTTAATTTTAATGGGAAATTAATAATTACATGTTAGAATAATTTAAAGAATAATGATAGTTAAGAGCCTCAAATAGCCCATAGCTGAACAGTTCTCAAGCTCTAGGTGTTTATATTAGGTCCAGAGAAAAAACAGTATTGGCAATCCACACCCTCAACAGCAACGTTTTTGTTACCTGTTCTATCTGTATTTCTATATTTACATTCCTGCAGTATTCTGTAATATTTTATCTGCGAAATCAGAGCTATAAAGTGCACAGGTTATATTACTGAATACTGTCTACATACCATACATATTTGCTATTATAGCAAAGCAACTGTCAGAATTTTAATAGTTGATAGTAGTGTATCTGACTCATGCTTTATCTTGAAATTATTAGCTGGCATCTCCTCTTGAATACTACCAAGCAGCTTATAAGATCCTTATTCTGCTTCTAGCCCCTTATTTTTACAGAAAAGTAATTTTTCTTCCAAGAAGGAAAAATTCGGTGCAATTTTTAAAGAATAACACGTATTTTTTCAATACTTATTCAGATGACTGTATGGGACTAATGCAGCTGATGCATCCTGGGACTCCCCTGTAACCTGGTGTTGTGGTTTAACCCCAGCCAGCAACTAAGTACCATGGCTTAGTTCCACAGAGTCAATTCTCACTCAGTCTCTCAGAATAGATTGATGCTGGAAACGACGAAGGCAGCAGTTGCTGTGTTTGTGAATTCACAGCTGCAGTTCTTAGCAGGACAGCCGCAAAGCTGCCCTGCAATGTTCCAAACAGCCAAACTGTAGCCACCAGTAGCATGACTGTATGTTCTCACATGTATAATTCACACAGCAACATTCCTATATATAAAGGACTTTTTAAAAATCACCTTAGTTTTGAACAGTCTTTGGTAAGATGAACATAAACAACAATGGAATAGTTTAGAAGAGGTGTTATTTCTTGTTTTAGGCTTTCCCCCTTCCCAGAGAGGTGGCTCCTTAAAATTTTATTGTAGGTAACATGACTTTTGATACCTGCATTTCATTATTTCTCCTGTGGATAACAAGAAAAATTAAGGGAACCTACTGAGAAAATGTCAATGTGGATATTAAAAACCAAATAAATTTATATACGTATATATTATGTAACTTCTGCAGTGTGTTTCCAAGTTCCTTCTGGTTGCTTACTACCTAGCATTAAGATGAGGGTTTGTTAAAAAAGAATCGTAGTTTATTAGTGAATGAAATTGTGAGAAATGAGCAGAACTAAATTTACTTTTTCAATTATCATCATTCAATGGTGAACTTTGGTGAAAGCACAGGTCTGCCAAAAGTGGCTCTTAAAATCTGGAACATGATCTAAAAGACCCATTTCTACAGTTGTACCTCTAATAGTTGTCGTTTTCCTGATGCCTTCATTCGAATTGTGGCCATTCGTTCTGCCAAGACCGTGAGAGTGGACTGCAATGCCAGCTGATCAGCAGCTTCTGCATCCAGTGGTTCTGAAACCAGCTCCTGGGCTAATGATGTCTGAAGCTCAGTGATTTCTTCTTGTAACATCAAAATCTCATCCATCAAAGCCTATTTAGAAATGAGACCAGAGAAAGTATTTGCTTTATTTATCAGTGAGAAGAAAGTATCTCAGGAGGCATAGGCTTAATAAAAAATTCAAGATAGCTGTCCAAAGGGATCATAAGAAACAGAGAGTAGTGCAGTATATCACTGCTGGTTTGGTAGAGTCTGAGTCCTGCTTTTAGAAGATTAAGGTAGGATGATACATCTGATAACTGAAATAGGATTTAATTACTTACCTGGAATTTCAAACGTATCACCAAAAGGAATTATTTTTGAAATATTATACATACAGATCTATTCTAAAGGCAATTTTTATGCAGGGGAGTAGATACAGTGAAGATGATGCACAAGCTAGTGAGTGTATGTTTGTGACAGAGAAACGGGGGCATGCGTTAGCTTCCAGCCTGAAATTTACTAATTCCACAAAGAACATCCAGAAATATACGTAAAATTCCAGGGATTAACTCCATAATGTAAAAGAAGTTTCTGCCATCATTCTTATCCTTGGTCAGTTTCCAAGATACCTACAAAAGGATGATGCATTACCAATACCTTAGAGCAGATACTCTACCTTCATGTTTGACAGTATACACATTGGATGCACAGAACATAAGACAGTGCTACAAAAGCTGTAAGTTATCCTTTTGAGGTCATGGAGTTTCTACTGAAACAAAAACTGGCCCCACCACATAGTTTCAAGCTATCAAATAGAAGGCTTAGTTGATTACAACTTGGACATAGGCCAGATTGGTTACTTGACAAAATATTCTTTTATTCAGAATGCCATTTCTCAAGACTTCCCTTGGGAGGGATTTTTTTGTGTGCTTTGGATTGCTTTGTTTAACAAAGTAAAGATAGTATTTAGAACAATTTAATATGCATCAGTACTGGTTATGTTCCTAGTAAATTTGGAAACATCATAAATAGCCCGATACATGCGAGTAGCACTGATGCTGAAGAACAGTATGTATTTTGCTGAAAATTTTGATTGGGCAAACTCTTATGATTTATTCTACTTTTTTAAAAGGCTCTTTATTAAAAAATCCACATTATATCCCCTTTAGAACAGCAGGAAATCTAGAAAGGCAGTTAACAGAGAACTTTCATACAACTAATGCATGTTTTTGAGGCATACAGCTGTGAAGAACACTGCTTTCTGAAAAAAAGGAACTAAAGATATACAGGTAATGCAAGCTCTCCCTCCATTTGTCACATGCAAATTTTTACCTGATGCTCAGCCATCTGGCTCTCTGGGCTTTTGGCTGGTTCCAGACTCTCATTTAGTTTGATCTCAATGCTCTCCATTTTTGTGGATATAGACTGGAGTGTGTCCTGATACTTCTGTTGACGCTCAAGGGCTTCATAGAGGGTGCGCTGCTTTTCACTGATCTGAAACAGAATGGAAGGTATAAATTCTGGCCTCTGATACAGGATTTACTCTTTCTTCTGCTACTTACATCCCTAGGCTTACATGACTGAATGCAAGAACTTGCCCTAAGTTTTCAAAAGTATAAATTATAAAGCATTATTTGTCTTAGATTTTGTGCACTCAAATGTGGATACACACTATTTGCTAGATATATAGTTCTTAATATCCCATGATAGCTAATGTGCCTCTGCAAAGAATTTATAGCATGCAATCAGAACTTTGACCACTGTCATACTTCACTGAATTATTACACTGCACTACTTTGTAGATATGTGTTAAATTGACTCAGTACTTGAGGAAACTGGATTCTTGGGCCCTTTTTTTGTGCCAGCTCATTCAGCACGAGTGGATTTCCCTGTTAGGTTATGGAATGTAGTCTGAAAATAGTTGCCTTCAGAAATATTGGCTATCAGCCTTAATGGCTTAACAGAAGTCCATCCTACACAGGCTTCCAAACAAAGACTAAAGATAATATAACATCATGACTAACAATTCTTGTTTCTGCTTGAAAACCAAGAATTGCAAAGAAGAATATTAAATAAACCAGTTATTTGCATTTTATTCCTTACAAACTAGCTAATTGTTTTGAACCCTCCAGATGAAGACTTACCACATTTTTCAGTGTTTCCCAAGAACGCTGCAAATCATCCAGTTTGGCACTAGCAGCTGTTTCTAAGCCTGGTTCATAAAACTCCTGCGTGGCTGAAGTGCTGGGTTGAATTTTAGCAGCTTCTGTCTGCAACTGTTCAGCAGATAAGGCTTGGTAGTAAGCAATGTCCTACAAGCACGAAGCACATTATGGCACTTTCAAAATGAAAGATACTATGTAACATTCCCCCCATACACTGCCCCATTGTATATGTCCATTAAAAGAAACCCAAAATAAGCCAAAACCACCAGAAAACCTCCGGGCAACACAGTAAAAAAAATATTTAACAATAGTACACAGAGTATGGTCTGGAGCTCCACTAAGAAGACTGTAGATGCATTTTTTTTGAGATCATATTAGCTGGGAGACACAGGAGGCAACTGTGGACAGACATGGAAAGGCTGGCAGGGGAGTGCTATAAGTAGGAGCGTTGTTCTAGCATCATCACAACAGACACTGGGTTATGGCATGGTTGGTGGCAAAGAATGTCATTCTAATGAACACAGAGAAGGCAACGGAAGAACCAAAAAGTAATATGCTGAAGGACTAGCTAATGATGTAAGAAAGAGTACAAAACACTAGCTTATAGTAAAGCTTTCAAATAAATAGATATTCTCAACTAACAAAAGATATTAAGAAAAGGGATCTTAGAATTGCTAAGAGAAAGGGGAAAATGTTCAAACTGCCATTGAAAATTCAGGGTGGAACTGTTTCACAGCAGACATGCTATACTCAGTGCATGGGGATTCCTGCAGCTATTGCAGGTGACAATTAAAAAGATATACAGAAAATGTAAAATTAAGGAAACATGCACAGTATCTATATTTAAGTCAGGAAAGCAGACTTGAAAACAAGGATTATTTAAAACAAAACTATGTAATGAGAGTTACCACTACATCTTTCAGGAAGGTGAAAAATGCTGCAGCCTTCCTTCTTCTCACTTAGTAGTCTGACTTCGTGAACTATGTCCAGACCATGCAACACAGCAGCTATTACCCAGTTTCTTCAATAACTTTGCATTTGTAAATGCCCCTAGTGAAAACTTCAAGACATGATTCTGCTGCCAGTGAAATCAGTAAGAGATTTTTCACTGATTTCTGTTAGGTTGGACCAAACCTCCTTTCAGGAAGCTCTCAGGGTTATCACAATATTTGCAAAAAAGTTGCTCAAAATCTACTGGAAAGTTTACTTGGAAAATGCTCCTCCAATGATTGCAGATTTCCTCTTTCTTGACCTTGTATGACAGTGATGAAAATTCAGGACGTTGAGCAACACGACTGAGAAAAAAACTAAGTGCCTTTCACTTGGCAGCTTACAGAGCTGTGTCTACCAAATAGACTGCAGACCCTTTACTGTACTGCAGATACATGAGTGTGTATAAATACAAATTCCCAAAGAGTGCATAGAGTTAAATTGAGTTGGTGACTGTTCCCCAAGGCTCAGTACTGGGGCCATGTCTTTTTAATGTCTTTGCAGGGAGGTGGGTGTTGGTCTCTTCTCCCAAGTAACAAGTGATAGGACCAAGGGGAAATGGCCTCAAGCTACACCAAGACGGGTTTAGATTGGATACTGGGAAAAACCTCTTCTCCATTAGGTTTATCAAGCATTGGAACAGGCTGCCCAGGGAAATGGTTAAGTCCTCATCCCTGGAGGCATTTAAAACACTTGCAGATGTGGTGCTTAGGGACATGGTTTAGTGGTGGACTTGGCAGTGCTTGATTAGCAGTTGGACTAAATCTTAAAGGTCCTTTCCAACCTAAATGATTCAATGATTCTATTTTATACCTGAAAGGAAAGTGCAAAGACGACATTGCCAGGCTCTTTCAAATGTTGCCTAGTGAGGGGACAACAGACTATGGGCACAACCAGAAACACGGGAGGCTCCCTCTGGACATCAGGAAACACTTTTTTATTGTGAGGGTGACTAAGCACTGGGACAGGCTGCCAACAGAAGTTGTGGCGTCTCCATCCTTGGAAATACTCAAATCCCACCTGAATATAATCCCAGACAACCTGCTGTACGTGGCCTAACTTGAGGAAGGGCATTGGAGTAGACAACTTCCGGATGTCCCTTCCAACCCCAATCTTTCTGTGATTCTGTATCAGTGTATATAAGTTAGGTAGTACTAAACAAGACTATTTCTGAGGTACTCAAGCTCAGAGTATAATTAGGATTCTAACTTGGAGGAGAATCTTTATTTCCCAATGTAATTTCACTATCTCATCTAATACCATATGTGAACAAAACAATACAAGCTCTGTAAGAGCACAGGAACAAGGTCACTTCTATCAAATTGCCAAAAAGTGGCAGATGAGGTACTTCTTCAGAGGCAATAATTGAGAAAATTGAACAATTTCATGACAAAAGTTGCTTCTGATGTCTAGGAGCTAACAGGGAATAGGTAACAGCTTAGCACACAGCATTCAGTACTGTGATTTCAGGAGTTTTCACTCTGATCACAAGTGATCTTTCCAACTCACAGTAAAAAACTGCACCAGTGCAGGCAACTTCTCATTTTGCCTTATCTGCAGCTACTCTTCAGCCCTTAGCCAGCCCTCTCTCAAGACCAATAGAAAAGCTGTGCTTCTAAGGCTTCTTAATCATGGCTTCCAGAATAAAGAGCTTGCTTTTACAGAGAAGGAAAAGCAATCCCTTTCTCCATCTTTTCAACTACTTTCTGGAGTATACATGGCAGTTTCTTTTTGGCAGAGCTTTCAGACAATGGTAGTGTGAATCCAGATGTTCTTAGAAGTAACAGATTTGGTTGCCCATGAAAGGCCCTAACATATCATGCCCACTTTTGTGAAAATTAGCCAAAGAACAGTATTCAAGCTTTATTGTTAGAATGTAGGGGCAAAGGGTGTGTTTAGATTTCAAAGGATATTTAACAAGGGATGTTGCACTCTAGGTGAGTTTTCATAAGGGAAGAAGAAAGAATGATTAAGTAGGCTGTGTACAAGGAGACAGAAAAACATTTAACAGTGACCCAGTCTTGAAGACCTGAATCACAGCATCAGCTGCAGCCTCAAAGGCTTTGTGACAACACTTCAGCTTTTGCAATTCAATTATGCTGCATTGTGTATGTGGAAAAAAGTTTTTAAAAATGTGCCAGATTTTAATCAACTATATCTTTGGGTAAAGGTGAGAAGTTTAAGTTCCAAAGGCTTCTCGTTTAGTACTGCAGCACAGATGAAGTGTCTGATTTTGCTGTACATCAAAATAAACTGCACTGAAGGACTATTATCTATTGCTGAAGTATACTATGGAATTCATCAGCCTTTTTATGGTTAACATTTTTATAGTTCTCCCCCCCTCATTGTTCTTACAGGAGTTTCACTACAAAACCAACAACCTGGGCACCTGCTAATAGTGCTAGATCTGTCATTTTCTTGTATTTATGGTCTTGCTTTAATCAATTTAAATACAAAGAATTAGTATTTCCACTAATATGCAGTTGGCACTGGTTTTATATTTTCATTACTTGTTAGTAACATAAAACAGTGCGCATACATGTCTGAATTCAGGCTACCCACATTTCACCATTAAGAGATGCTAGGAAACCATGATGAAAGACTGTACAAAGATAGGTATGAATTAAAAAAATCCAGTCTTAACATCCAACCTTTTCCTCCTCATCCCCCACTTCATAAAAATCTTTTAATGCTTTTCCAAAGACTAAATTAATGGAATTCTTTACTTTCTAGAGTTCGTGTTCACATGGTCTTCTGGTACTTTGCAGGTTATCTTCCTGTGAGAATTTTTTTTTCTTAATGTTGGCTATTTTTTATAATAAAAGATTTTCAAATTAGTTCTGCTGAGTCTTAGTGAGTACATAATATTTTTAAACTTACATTTAAGATCCTAATTCACTAACCTCTAGATTATTTTTTTTTTAATCAACCCTCTTTCCTGAAGTCTCCCTGTGCATTCACCATGATCAGCACTTGCACTTTCACAGCTTCTTTAGTTTTAATCTCATGTGAGTATGAACCTAAGCATTTTGCAAGCCACTGCATTTGGGAACATTCTTCCGCTTATTGTTTAGTACGTTCAGCTCATTTCAACACTAACCACACTGAAGAAACCTTAATCTGTAAGTTTTTTAGATTATAACACCATTAATTTTATCTCTTTCAAAAATATTCTGTTACATGAAATACATCATCTTCTTGCTAAATTTTGCCCTAGTAAATTACAGGTTCTAAAATTTGCATTTTGGTGTCACCTCATGGTGCAACAGCATCTTTGCTGGGTTTTTCCTTATTATTTGAGATACTGGAGCTGTTAGCCTGGTTTTACATTTTCAGAGAAATGTAAGGAACTGATATGGGCTTTGTTTACTCGGAAGCTAGATGCTCTTGGTCCTTTGAATTCTTTCACTGATTAACATTGTCATAAGATTTTTGTGCTGAAATATATAGCTGTCTTTCTACTGTAAGTAAACTTTACCGGAAGATTTCTGGTTTTATGAAATGACAGAATACTAGAAAGACCATTCATTATATAACTTTTTCATTTTTCTGTTGAAGATTTTGTCACCAGTCTTAACTATTTTACCTTAGTATTCTTCCTTACATCAGTTCATGATTTATTCATATTTAGCAACTTCTATAGCACCATATGTATCTTTGAAATTAGTGGAAGGAATTAATGGGCATCCTGATTAAACCTCTCTAATTCTACTCAGCGATGCAACACAATGTACTATAGCCCTTAAGTCTGCAGTGGTCAATTTTGGAAGAAGCCACAACTGAGAAAAACAACCAACCACAAAACCCGCACCATGATGCATTTAGTGAGGTGGCGACTGCTCCTAAGGCTCATCTCTAAACTTCTAAAGCTTAACATTTTTCTTTTGCTTTCATGTGCATGACGCTCCATGTGCTGGTTCACTGCTTATCAGAAATGCAGGACCCCTCAGTTTTGATTTAAGAATCTAACTTCAGTGGTTTTGCTGATCTGCCACTTAAAATAGACTGTTACAGAAAGCATGGAATGAACAATACATGAAAAGAAAAAAACATGGAAGTTAATACTTGAAGTGGTATTAAGATATCAGAGTGTGACTTCAATGTTACAATGCCATTGACACAGTAAGATAGATGTATATGAACATAACACAATGTTTTATTATGTGGAGTACAAAATTGCATTTCTTCTCAGGATGCAAGATTCCATTAATTACTACAGAGAAAATAAAAATTAGGTTATAAATAGAAAGCAGTAGTGACATGAAAGAGCTTTGTACTTGTGACTTAAAATATATTTTTTAAAATAGCGAATAGTTTTAACACCAAGTTTATGCCTTTTAAACTCAGAAGTCAGTATCTGTCTCCATTTTGAACTAGTACCTGAAGGTTCAGTTAGGTTAGAGGTTAAGCCTCGGTTCCTTGGAGCTATAGGTAAATATTATTTCAGAAGATTAAATAAACCACCTGTGGAATGGAACCATGCATGTCTGAGATAAAAGCTGAATGAATGCCAAGAGGGAGGTACCTGGTTAACAGAAGCATCTGTATTAGCCACAGGTGAAGGAGAGCGACAGGCAGGTGGAGAAGAAATCTCACTGTTGGTTCCCTCCTCCCCAGACTCCTCAGTGACAGGGGAGAGCAGCGTGTGACAGCGACCAGCAGTCATCTGCCACAGGAAAAGCAACCCCAGAGCACAGGAAGAAAATCAGTTACCTCAACTTAGGTTTGACTTAGACCAAGATCAAAACAAAAAAACCCCAACACATGGCCAGAATTACCATGACATTATTTGGTCATACTTTATGCTCTTAATTTACCAGTTTAAAAATCTTATTGAATTAATAATCTTGTTTACTTGTCATACTTCAGCATGAATATGCTCTCCTGTACCCTAGTGAATTTAAAAGAAGGTGTATAGCAAGCAACTCAATAATAGCAAATGAGGGTTTGCCTATATGTCTTCTAATACAATCACTGCTGCATATGGAAATACTGTGGTGAGCCAGAGAATAATGCAGTATTGGCCTCGGTATCCAGGCCTGGTTAGAACAACAAGGAATAGACTTGGAATATAAAATACACACAATCCACTAGCAACATATTATTCTTGCTTCCCCAATGCTGTTATACAATGAAAAATCCTGACATCACTCTATTTTCACTCAGATAAAAATCTCAATAGCATCAGCAGTGTATTTGTAATGAGACCCAGTTAGAAATAAACAAAAGCAGAGTAATCTAAAAACGAGGCCTATGGCAGTACTTAGACAGCTTTCATTTCCAACACACTCATCTGAGAATATTGCAGCATATTGTAAATTATCACATCAACATTTTAAGATAACAGCTTTAAAAATACAGTGTGTAAAACCTATCCACTGCAACATGTTATGAAATAATATTTATTCTGGTTTTATCTCATTCCTGCAATTCAGTACTTTCTTAGTGTTTGCTCTTACATGCTGACAGCTACAAAAAAGCAATACATTTGCATCTTCTTACAGAAAACTTCCACTGGCATATGTCTGTTAAGTAACTTCATCCTTTACGAAGAAGTCTTGAAAACCCACATGAAGCAAACTGCAGGAAGGGGAAGCTGCAACTTGTTTGGTTTTTGCCACACTTCCAGCCATTTCAAGAGCAAAATGTGTATGTAAGCTGTGGCAATTTGCTACACAGGAGTATTGCAATGATGCAAAAGCAAGCAGCTCAGATAAACAGTACCGAGACCAAAGCATTCCTTACCATAACCACCGAGGGATGAGCAGGGTGTGCTGGGAGCAAGTCTGAATCCAGCTCCTCCATTCCCTCTGAAAGCCCCTCCACTTCTGTCACTGTCAGCAGCATGGTGGCATGTTTTGCTTTCATTGTCAGCATCTTGCACTTTGAATTCAAAGAAGCAATTTGCTCCTGATATCCTTTGATCTTCTGAGCCAGCTCCTGAGGAAACAAATATTTTACCCCAATCTAGAGGCAGCCCATGAAGGCCACAGGGCTCACAGCATTTCAGCTTTCCTGGCAAAGACAAGCTCTCCCCTCCAAGCCCAGCCAATAACATCACAGCACTGCCTCTCAGGAGCCCTGCATAAGCTGCCGCACTAGCTGACAAGCAGGATATTGATAGTGGAGGGAACAAGTCAGGCTGCGTCTGGCTGCACAGCTAAACCACAGAGCAGAGAGCTTTGAGGCAAAACCGGAAAAGTGCTGCAAAAGGCTCTGTGTGCACGATAATCACAGAGGGAAGGAGGGACACCTCACGCTCGCATCCAGCCTGAATGTGACGTGAAATTTATAAGCTTCAGACTGCAGCAAAGGGAAATGTCTCTCCCCCTTCCTGTCCTATTTTTTCCCCTGTTCTATTTCCATTTATCTGAGGAAGATGAAGCTTCTCCACATAGTGCATGCCACGGAAATGAGGTTATGTGGTAACCACTGTCAAAAAATGCCCCATTCAGCTCTCAACAGAAAGAATGAATTGTTCAAACAATAACTCACAGGGTCTAGCAAGATCAAATGTGATAGGCACAATCAGTCACATAATAAGACTAAGTGCAGACTGGATCACTTTTTGCCACTGTTTGGGTAAGCTATGGTTTAATCTTGTTATGGCTATAAAGTGGTCTATGTGTATGGCCAAACACTATCATAAATTTAAGTTTAGTTGGAGAAGAAAGACAGAAATGAACAGCCTTAGAAACTGACTTGTCTTCTCTCCTACCCTGTACTGCTACCCAGCTCACTCTCCAGCCTCAAAGCTTTCAACTAATATACTTAAACTAAATAAACAAACAAACAATGCTTGAAGATTTTCACATTTCTGCCAAAGCTATTGTTCCTTTTTCCACAGAGGTTCAATAACTTGAATTTTGATCTATAAAGTGAAAAGGACACTTGTATAAGCCTGCCTGCTGAATCAGTGATTATTCATTCAAATATATATTTCTGTTTTATTTTTATATCTGTCTTTATTTTTTCAACAAACACAAGTTTTCAAGGAAGAATAGCAACAGAAGTTGCAAGATCTAGTAGGTATAGTAAAAATAATTTAAATACCTTTTAAAAAGTAAATAAGAATACTGCTTCAGGCTGGTAAAATGAAAACATTATTTTGGGGGCTGTATAACATTTTCTGGAAATTATTTTCTCAAAATCACAGTGCAAAACAGTCATAGTGAGGAATATAGAGTTAGAAATGGAAGCAGCGCTAGGACTGAGGATGACACTTTACTGCCTAGGTTACAATGGCACCCGGTCACTGCCTGCCATGTGAGTAACAAAAGGAGCTCTTGAAGCTCCAAGACTTACCTTGGAGACTAAGCAAAGTCTTGAGTATAAAACATCAACTAGATCAATCAAAAACCAAACTGCAATCAAATTAAGCCATAATTTTAATGTCTAGCAGCTGGAATAGTGCTCTCTTTGGCAGGTACCAGTCATTCACTAATGCTTAATGAATGACACCTCTGGGGCTCAGTTAGAAATTATTATCATTCAATATACTCACTCAATTCCATCACTATTACTGAGACGCAATAACATTTGTGGCATTAATTTCCAATTCACTGAGTATCTAACATACTGAAAACAAAGAAAAGGAGGCAAAAATGTGATTGTGGAAAAGAAACCCAAAGTGACTTATAATAGTAATATCCTATGAAATACTTTATTATCCATTAAAATAATTCACAAGTATGGAGATACTTGCCCACTTCTTATCTGAAAGTCTAAATAAGCACAGGTCAGTAAACATAGTTCCAGAGTGTAACATGCATAGTAATACAAGATTCCTATAAATCAAGTTGTATTTTCCTTCTACTTTCTTGCTCTTATTTTAATTCTAAATATAGCTACTACAAATGTCCCTTTTGGTTCTTGCTCATGCAGGCTTCAACAGGGAATCTGATGTTTTCTTAAATTAATAACACCTGTAACAAGCATTTTGATAGACTTGCCTTTCAAAGTAGATTTTTAAATAATGTAGGGTATAACATATTCACTTTATGCTATGCATTTCCACAGGCTTTTTGCAGACAAAATATGAGCCAAAAATATGCACATCTCAGTCTTTCAAAATTCCTTACCCCTAAATGTGGAAAGCTTGCAAGTATGAAACCTGTCCTCTCTGGTTGATTTCCACATGAGCAATAGGGTAAAGTTGCTGTCTTCCCACAGACTTTTAGAAAGACTCCTAGGTACTGAACTTGTTCAGATGAAGATGAAACTTCAAGCTGCCCCATTTTGAATTCCTTCCTCCCTTCAGCATCATTCCTTTTTCCAGGAATATTACCCTGTATCACTGAAGTCACTTTCCCGTATCTGCTGTTCCAGAACATTTGACTAGAGAATAGTATCATTATTAATTCAGTACTAAAACCCCAGAAGTGTTTGTTTAAGCAAACTTCTCTGCATTTATACAAAGTAACTTCTGTAACAACTGGATAGTAAACGAGCAACACATTTAACGTTAGATTATACTACATGACAGCACAGCGAGCTTTAATTCCAATGTGAAGAAATGGTGCCATCTAGTGTCAAAAGTGACACATAGCGCTCAATGGTACATCTTTTGATAAACCACGAAATACCCAACAGACAGGGGAAGGGGAAAGGAGCTCAGGAGCTCCACTGCCAGCACAGCGAGAAGGCTGCAGACAGACTATCCCGACTCATTCAAGGGCTGACAATCAATGGGTTTGAGGGCAGAACCTACAACTCCACAGGACAAAACTCTTCCCAACAATGACTTTAAAAGAAGCCTTTGGAGTCAACATTGCAGAGTTTTCCTCCAAATCTACCCTGGTTTTCCTGTGATTCACGTCCCTTGGTGTTTTTTTTACAGAATGTTACTGGCATTGAAATGAGTAATTACTTTAGGATATACGCATATATAGATATACATATATATTATATATATGAGGATCACTGAACTAGCAGTGCTCCCTTGATTAACTGCTCAACATTAACTTCTGGGACACTCCTTAGTTAGGTACCTATGTTAATTGTCCCTCAATTATGCAGTGTTTTAGTTTGGCATAATTTTGCCTGGAGATTAAGACATATCTAACTGAACAAACAAACAAATACTCCACACTGTACCAATAGCATAATTGGTATTATGTCTATCTGCTCAACTAGCCTTAGCAAGCTTGAGAAGCTACTCAGATAATTTATGACCATTGCTTATGAAAATTTTTTTTGGGGTCAGTGAGCTGTCTTTGAGCCCACGTTGCTGCATTTTGCTCTCCTACCTCATGACGTGAAATCTGGACCTGGAGTTCCTGGATATTGCCAGTTGCTATTGCTTTATCTTGGATCTCATGATGGGCGCGCTCTATCATTTGCTGTAAATGTTTCATTTCTTGCTCATATTGCTCATACTGAACCACTGCTTCCTAGAGGGGGGGAGAAAAAAAATCAACTGAGTGCCTACATGAAAATTAATATTTACTTAGTCCAAGCATGACTGATCTCCTTTCTGAAGTGAAGCAAACTTAATCTGGTACTTGTATCTGAATATGCAAAGCAGGAACATAGTCAGGGAAAAGTCCATTCAGAAATATTACACTTAAGTATCATCAAGTATCTTTAATCACTGAAAGTCTCTTTCTGTTAAAAGCTTACTCTCCTCTTCTTTGGAAATACCTTTTACATATTTAATTATGAATTAAATTATTACATGTTTAATTTATAAATTATTACATGTTTGATTATGAATTCAAACAATCAAACAAAACCTAGTTTTCTTGTATTTAGCAAAAACTTGAAAATGCAAATGTAATAGATGCTGAATGACTCCAAAGTCAGAAAGAAAAAATATATACATTTTAAGTAATATATTAATTTCACTAACTGGATTATATGTATTATAAAATTAACCTGCATACAATTTATATTAGCTATTTGTCTAGTTAAACCTAACAGTACTACAGAAAGCACAAGATCAAGGACAGAACCAAGATGAAAGTATGATGACTAAATCAACAGTTAAGATGATCATGACTGTTAGAACCCCCTAAAACATAGAGAAACAAAAAGTTGGTGGGGAACATCCTAAAGGTACTACATGAAAAAAGAGGAATGCACAGAGATATGAAATTCTCTGTTTGCACCATAACTTATATGGCACTGTTCAAGTTAGCCAGTATAATTTCTAGGGTGGAGTGAAATTTACCTGCATGATGTTGCACTGCTGGATGGCAGTGTGCTGCAGGCGGCTGGCCTCCTCCTGGAGCCTGAGGGCACTGTGGCACATCGGCAGGCCGGTGACCACCTCTTCAGGAATCCTCAGGGCACTCTGACAGACTTGTACTGCATGAACTTTTGGCTTCAGTGACTCCATTTCAGACAACAGATGCTAAAAACAAAGTCAGTGCCACAATAAGCCAGTTTTGCAGAAATCCCAGAGCATTTAATGCAGCAAAAGAAAAATAATGATGTATTCAAGGACTAAAGCAAACAAATTTGATTATCTATTTTCTAAATTGAATATAATCAGAACACACTTTGTCTGGAGTTGCTCATTCTGAAATTAGCGTTCTTCTAAATATCAATTAAGCAAAAAGCCCATATAGTAGCAATAAAAATAATTCATGAAAAAAGCATAGTAATAACTACTTGTAAGTGTCTAAGTACAAAAATATTTCTGTTAACATATTTGAAAAAAATATTTTTACAAAATCCTCAAATCAAAGCAGCATAGGAATCATTTATCTATACACATATTTTAATGTTAAAATCCAAGTGGAACTCCCTGCTGAGAGAAGAAGTACATTTTCAAACCAGCAAATGAATACCGTTGCGTTCACAGCCTGCTTTTGAGAATAAAAACCATGGCTGAAAACGTTGTTTAAAATTCAAAAGGCAATGAACAGAAAGAAACACAGCTACACAGAAATTTTTTCTTTGAATAATCACTTGCTGGATGCTTTTGTTAATAGTCTCTATTCCGTTCACGTCCGTTCAAGCTGTCTGTTCATATGCATGAGAAGGGTCTAAGTGTAATGGCTGGTGAATAGATTTGGCCAGCATTCTTTTTAGCTTCACTGGGGGGCGTTAAAGTATTTACAGGTAGAAAAGGAAAAACGCTTAAAGAAAACTAACAAACAAACCAAAAAAAAAAAAAAAAGGTAAAATTGTTGAAAGGGGCCTTAGCACATCAGAAAAAGATTTCAGCTAGACAATGTATGTGGCAAACAGGGATAAAGAGACTGGTAGACTGGTCATCTCCCTTCCCCTATACCATATGCATTAAGACTGCTAAGTGAAGTGAATGCTGATGAGAGGATTGTAGTTTGCCCTTTATTTCTGTGCCTTCCTGACATATGGTGGATAATCTAAACAGATAGTTGGTATAAAGGCCTATTCTTCAGATGTCACAGGTGAGGCCTCTTCTCTGGCGGGCCCTATACTGCTGGCAAAGGTGCCTTTATTGTGCAGTCAGTACCTAGAGGTACCCTAGGGGCTGCATGCCAGCCAGACAGTCTCCAAGACCCACTCTCTGGTCTGGTGAAACAGGTAGACAGGGGCTACAGCCTCTTTCTGTACAAAATAAAGTCATACTATGAGACCTGCTAGAGCCAGAACAAAGAATACACATAAACAACAAAGTAAACTCCATATTCCTTTACTCTTATAGTGGGTGATGTGTTTCACTTACACTCTTCAACAACACATTCTGAAATTTGTCTGCAAGTCCCTGAATAAAGACTGCGTATTTTAATCAAAAGTGCAAGCTCTGCAAATTTACCTTCCATCCAAATGTTTTTTCCTGCAGATTTTAACCTTAAAGCGGACCTGTTGACATTAGTTTCCACAGCAGACTAAGACAACCATACCTCTGTATTAGCTTGCAGCAAGAAACATTTCTTAAGCAACTTAGAAAGCTGTAACATGGGCCATTTTTCTTGTCATGAGACTGAGATCAAAAATAACAAATTGATAGATCTCTATAGTAGGCCAAGTGCTATACAGAAAGCAGCAATATGTGGGTAATTCAACTAAGCATACAAAAAAGGTAACTGAATTTAAGGAAAACTGAATTTTCTCTTAACTTTCCAATTGACTACCGGGGGACATTGCAACACACTATCTCATTGCAACTCTACCAGTTAAATGGTAAAGACAACCTAGACTTCCTTTTCAAGCACTTTAAGAACCTGTTGACAAGAGCACTGGATGCACTGAGCTTCATTCATCACTGGATGAACTGACCTTCATTATTATTACTATTAGTATTACTATTACTATTATTACTATTATTATT